GTAGTGCCAAGTGTTCCCTTCGACTCTAATAAAATTGGAGAGTCGATTAATCTATCATCAACTTGACCAAAGGCCTGTTCCAGTGGGGAAATATGTTCACCCACTATCTGTTGTTACAGCCCATTTCGTGTCACCTATGAATGGCAAAATGGCTTCTCCACCAATCCCTACCTGTTGTTGATTATGTACTTGAAAGAGGCTCACCGTCATGCATATTGTTGACTCCGCTCGCTTCTCCAGTTTCAAAAATGAGTTGGTGTGGATGAATAGCCTCCCTACCTCTTCTCGCTCATGTTAATGAAAGCAGACCTCAAACATTGGAAGAGCCCATCCTTCCTTTAGGCCTTGCACCCAATTGTCTCCAAATGGTACAGTAAACATCTTTATGTTAAATTCCATATAAGCTCTTCTTGTTTACTTTTAATGGTTGTCAAAATGTCATGTGTTTTGATTATATTTAGGAGATCTGATTTTATTTGGTTTGATTTGACAGCTAAATTGATTGTATAGATTTATTTTATTTCCTCAAGTAGCATTAGGAGGTTTGTATAAATTCCCTTGCTCATGGGATGTAAACATACACATAAATACAAGAAGCCTTTTCTTCTTCTCAAAATCTACATGGTATCAGAGCCATTGCTGCCTTTTTGAGGTGAGTTATCTCCCTCGCAGCACTAGGGTTCTTTTTTTATCAAAGAGGTCGAGTTTTCTCTCTCTTGTTGGCTGTCTGCAACACAAACTCCTTCTGACTTTCTTCTAACTGGGCTGAAATATGGAGACATTCAAGGAGACGGTTTCTGGAGAAATCTTGTCTTCGGATGAAATTCAGTTTCTCCGTCGTCTCCTAGCCAAACTTGACTCCGCTCATGTTGCCACATCCAATCATGTGCAATCAGGTACTGCCTTTGCTGATAACTTTAATTCTTGGATTGTCGATTCTGGTGCAAATAGACACATGACAGGCTCTTCTAAAGGCATTCAAAACTATTTTTCGTGTCCCAAAGGAGATAATGTTAAAATAGCCAATGGTTCTTTAACACCTATCTCTGGAACAGGTTCTGTCATTTGTACTCCTAATATTAAACTATCATCCGTGCTCCATGTCCCTGAGTTCCCTATCAATCTTTTATCTGTTAGTGCCATCACCAAAGCTCTAAATTGTAAAATTGAGTTCTTTTCAAGATCTTCAAACAAGGAAAAGGATTGGCAGTGGTAGATTGCGTGATGACTTGTATATATTAGATCGGATTCAAAACTCTAGTCAAGCTTTTTTTGGGGAAAGTAAGGATGTCAACCAAGAAATAATACAACGGTATAAACGGTTAGGACACCCCTCATTCTTTGGCTTGAAGAAGTTATATCCCGATTTGTTTTCAAGGACTCGATTTGAATCTTTTTTCTGTGATGCGTGTGAATATGCCAAGTATACTAGAAACTCTTATCATGTGAGTGATAATAGAAGCACAACTCCGTTTATGACTATTCATTCTGATGCACGGGGTCCTACCCAAACTGTTTCTTCGTCTGGTAGTCGATGGTTTGTTACTTTCATTGATTGTTGCACTAAGATGACTTGGGTATATTTGTTAAAAGCCAAGTGAAGTTTTCTCTTGTTTTCAATCATTTCATAAGATGATTTGTACTCAGTTTGATGCCAAAATAAAAATCTTGAGAACTGACAATGGCAGCGAATACATGGATAAAAGATTTGGTGCTTATTTGGAGTCCAATGGATAGTCCATCAGACTAGTTGTCCTTACACTAGTGCACAAAATGGGGTCGCTGAAAGAAAAAATAGGCATCTGTTAGAAGTAGCAAGATCTCTTATGTTCACCATGCATCTACCAAAACCTTATTGGGGGATGCTATTCTAGCGGCTGCCTATCTTATCAACAGAATGCCACTTAAACCCCTCAATTTTCAAAGTCATTGTTCCTCCAAAGGTGTTTGGGTGTGTTTGCTTTGTCCACACTAGAAATTCTGGGAAATTTGATCCTAGAGCTATAAAGTGTGTTTTCATTAGGTATTCTCCGGCAAAGAATTACAAATGTTATCATCCTCCCTCTAGGAGATCTTTTGTTAGCATGGACGTTACCTTTCGAGAATCTGAGCCCTATTTCGGTATTACCTCATCACTTCTTCAGGGGAGAGAAGTAAGGAGGAAGAGGTGATTCTACCTAGTTCCATTACTGGACCTCTTGATGACATTGTCACAGGGGAAAGTGAAATTGGAGAAAGAATTCAGGGGGAGACTATTAGGCGTTTGGATAGGCTTGATTTGAAAACTTACTCAAGGAAAAATAGAGCAGAAGAAGCTATCATGCAATCTGCCGACGCTGAACCTTCTTCTACTGGTGAGTTATCTACATTTCCTAATGAGTTAGATGAACCTATTGCTCTCAGAAAAGGAGTCAGATCTTGCGCCACCAAACATCCTTTATCTAATTTTGTCTCTTATAATTCTTTGTCTCCCTCCTATAGAGCATTTGACTTGTCTATTTCTTCTGTGTCTATTCTCCAGAATTGGAGGGAAGCTTTTGCAGATCCTAAATGGAAACAAGCTATGATTGAAGAAATGAAGGCCTTGTAAAAAATGAGACATGGGAACTTGTCACTTCACCACCAGACAAGAAGTTGGTTGGCTGCAAATGGGTCTTTATTGTGAAGCACAAAGCTAACGGCTCAATTGAAAGATTCAAAGCAAGATTGGTCGCTAAGGGATTCACCCAGACTTATGGAGTGGATTATCAATAGACATTTGCCCGTGTTGCTAAGATTAACACTATTAGAATTCTTTTATCTTGTGCCGCTAATCTTGATGGTGACTTGCAACTGTTTGATTTGAAGAATGCATTTCTTCATGGAGACTTAGAAGAAGTGGTATATATGGAGAGTCCTCCTAGATTTGATACTGCACAGAATCAAGGAAAGGTATGCAGATTCAAGAAAGCCTTATATACCCCAGAGCTTGGTTTGACAGATTCAGCAAAGCAATGATCTCCTTCGGTACCAACAAAGCAATGCTGATCACACCCTCTTCATAAGATATCAAACGGGTAAACTCACGCTTCTCATAGTTTATGTAGAGGACAAAGAGGAGATGACAAAGAGGAGATATCTCGATTGAAGAAGTTGTTGGCACATGAATTTGAGATCAAAGATCTAGGAAAATTGCAGTACTTCTTGGGAATTGAGGTTGCTAGATCCAAAAGAGAAATCTTTATTTCTCAAAGGAAGTATATTCTGGATCTTTCGAAAGAAACTGATATGACAGGTTGCAAACCCGCAGAATCGCCCATTGAAAGCAATCACAAGTTACAAAGCGGAGTTGGAGAATCAGTTGATAAGGAGAGATGTCGGAGGCTGGTTAGAAGACTCATTTATCTCTCTCACACTAGACCAGACAGAGCCTATTCAGTTAGCCTGGTGAGTCAGTTCATGCGTGATCCCCGAGATCCTCATATGCAAGTTGTCTTTCAAATTTTGCGGTATCTGAAGTCTGCTCCAGGGAAAGGTCTACTTTTCTCCAAACATGATCACCTCCAAATAGAAGCCTTTACAGACGCGGATTGGGCTGGATCTCTAGATGACAGAAGATCAACATCCGGTTACTGTACGCTCGTATGAGGAAACTTGGTTACTTGGAGAAGCAAGAAGCAAAGTGTAGTTGCTAGATCAAGTGCGGAGGCAGAATATAGAGCTATGGCCCAGGGTGTTTGCGAACTGCTTTTGCTACAAAAGCTACTACAGGAATTGAGACTGTATGAAAAAGGAAAACTTTCCTTGTACTGTGACAATAAAGCCGCCATCAATATAGCTCATAATACAGTCCAGCATGACCGAACAAAGCATGTGGAAATTGATCAACACTTCATCAAAGAAAAGGTTACAACTGGTGTCTTGAGTTTGTTTCATGTGCCATCGGAAAGACAACTAGCTGATGTGTTTACCAAAGGTCTCAACAAGCGAACTTTCCATACTTTGAGCTGCAAGTTGGGCATGTGCGACATCTTTGCACCAACTTGAGGGGGAGTGTTGATTAGCATGATTCAAGGAGACTTGATTTAGGAGTGTTGATTAGCATGATTTGAGGAGATTTGATTATATTTAGGAGATCTGATTTTATTTGATTTGACTTGACAGCTAGATTGATTGTATAGATTTATTTTATTTCCTTCAGTAGCATTAGGAGCTTTCTATAAATTCCCTTGCTCATGGGATGTAAACATACACATAAATACAAGAAGCCTTTTCTTCTTCTCAAAATCTACATTTATTTAGGCAATTCAAAATACTATAAACAAATACCACCTTATATTACTTCAATCTTAATGTTACTTCTTTCAACTATCTACTCCATCCATTTACATCTCAAACTGTCACTCACGCTGTTTCTTTATCAGAGGCAGTACAATCATCCTACCTATTTTTTTTTTTTTGATAAGTAAAATCTTTTTATTAAACTGGTACCAAGATGGTATACGCTCGTCCTTTTCTTTAACATTTTACTCTTAAAGTCAAACCAGGTCAATTTAATGGGACAGAGGAAGGACTGTATTTTATTGGACTAATACTTAATCTTATTAATACAACTGTCACTTCAATAATTTATTTATTATTTTCGTAAATATCTGCAAGTGTTCTTTAAATTTCAACATTTATGTGCAGCCTCTGAAGGAAAATGCACACATCACTCTATTGAAATATTCAGATCTGGAAGGTGCCCTACGTGAGGATATTCATGTTTGAAACTTTTGAACCATGATTTCTGAGGCTACAGGATTTTCATCAAGCATGACTTGAACAATCCCATTGTGAGACTACTAGAGAAGAATGATATAAATTCCCAAGGAAATCAACTATATGTTGAGGAGAAGATATCATATGGCAAAGCCATCTACTACTTCTGGAAATGGTACACAAACATAAACACATAGAGAAAGAGAGGCATCCTCTAAATGCAAACAAACTCAATAGCTTCTTAATCTACAGAGCCATACCTTCGCAGATTTGCTGTCTTCACATAAAAGATTTATATCTCCATCCTTTCCTTCTTGCAATGTATGATCTACTGCATAATTGCCTTCACTGGAAGGACCAGTCCCACCTGTGTTGCAGCTAAGAGAAGCTGGGTGAATGTTCCAACATAGATTTAAGCAATCCTGCACAGACAGAGGATAAAATAAAATCAAAAATCAATATGCTATGAGCATTGGCTGATAGAAGTTGTAGAAAGTAGCAGATATGACTTACTGAACCTAAATGACCAAGGTTTCCACAGTTGTAGCAAGATGCTTGCCTTGGTCTATAATCTTTGTAATCAATGCAGCAAAGATGGCCAAAAGCTTTGCAAACCCAGCATTGAATTTTCTATCCAGGTCAGACCATCAGATTCACCATTAGTTTAGCATGAATATTTCTTGCAATATACTACTTTCAGAAAAGTAATCAAATTAATGGACTAGAATGTTGCACCAAGGTTATGGCGTAGCGACCAATAAAGATGGATTGAAAATCATAAGAGACTTGGGCTCAAATCCCAACAGAGAAACAAAAAACTTTTAAGAGTAATTTTTAGTGTTCCTTGTGAGCAAGGATCAAACTCTTCTCTGAGTATGATTAGGCACTCAGTAAGGAGAAGGCGGAAACCAGGTGCTACACTAAACTAGGCGCCACCTGGGATAGCTGGACTTGTAATTTATTTATTCACTGTTTATGTCTCTACCATGACGACTTGATGAAATGTAGAGGCAAGTGAGGTAAATGGCTGATATTACTGGAAGGATTTCTCTATCGAAAAATGGTATTGTAAGTAATATTCTTGTAATCAGTTTAGTAGATATTTCTTATATGGTTCATGTTCCGAATTGGGTTCCTACCAATCTCAAAATAGGCTATTGCTTTCGGCTTCTTTCCCCAACCAGTCGCCCTTGTGTGGGAGGGACTTAGCTTGGCGACTTCTCATTTGTGGAGAATAAAACTATATTCTCCTTGGTCGGCAGGAGTTACCGAGTACCTGTCCTGCTGAGAGGTTGCAGGTACACAGTAAATAGATGAGGCACGCACAACGTCACCCAAACACCAAAGTTATTACAAAAAAAATAACTGACAATATGCTGTTTTAGTTCACAGTCAACGACATAAAATTACAGAAAGCATACTTAAGAGGATTTTCTGTTTTTAGAAATGGTAAGTGCACTCAAGAGGATTTTCTTATTAATGCTACAAAATATTAGCGAAATCCACATCAACAATTGAACAATCGAACATTAATGTAATAGTCTAAATAAGAGCTTAAAAGATTGCCGTCAGCAAATTACGGATTATGGAATAACTATAACAAAAACAACATACCTAGTGTAATCCCACATAGTAGGGTCTGGGGGGTAGTGTGTACGCAGACCTTACCCCTACCTTGTGGAGGTAGAGAGGCAGTTTCCAATAGACCCTCGGCTCAAGGAAAGCATATGCACAACAGTAATGTATGGAATTACTATTATTTGTTTTAAAAGTCCAAGAGAATAGTTTCCAAAAGTATTGACGCAATAGACACCATAGTATAAACTACAATAATTGCCTACTAAACGACGATGTATGCTAATACCAGAATAAAGTTGATAAACCTCACATACCTCAAGATCACTAGAGGAGTAACAATCTTTACAAGTGAACATGTCATGTCCTGTGTCACCGCATTTTAGACAAAATTCACAAGATTGATCTTGTAGTATCTGTATGTTAGTATCGGGACAGTCTCGGGCTAAATGACCTCTTCTCTTGCAAGTGAAGCAACCTCTGATCTGGAAATAAAAATATGGACTTCATCTTAATATCAGTTCCTTGCCACCCCCTCCCCCTAGAAGAAAAGTAAAAGAAGGGGGAAAAGGGAAGATAGCATAATAAAGGTAATGAAAGGTAAAGCCTCAAAAAAGAACAGTAAGAAAGAAGGTGAAGTAAATAATTGAGCCAAATGTTGCCTAACTCACAGATTGCTTCGATTGGTGGAACAAGCACGAGTTCATGATCTGCTATCTAACCGAAAACTTTATTTGCTAAGAATAGGCTTCTTTTACTTAAATTAACAAACTTAGAAAATAACCTTGGTCAAAGAAAAATAATTTCTTAATCCATACAGAATCTCCTGAAATAGTAAGACTACTAAGAAGTCATAAGTGGAATCACGTTTTTGTAAGTTGAATGAACTTGGATTGGTTTCAATTACAAGTAAAATATTTTTCTCAGTGATAAGATGTTATGAGCAGTCTCCCTTGACAGAAATCATTTATTTATTATTGTTTTCATCGCAACTATTATTCATGTAATACTTCTTCTTTGTTGATATCCATGATATGAAATGCCTATAAATGAACATGAAATTGGAACTGAATCAAAGGTATAATACTTCTAGTGCAAGAAGGAGTTTCATTAATTTTTCAACAAATGATAAGATGATTTCTTTCTTCATTGGTCATCTTGACCTTTCGTGGAATCACTGAGACCACGACTAAACATTAACTGAGATGGCTCAAACAATGTGGATTCATATAAAGATATCTAATTGATCAAATATATATGAATCTATGTTCATATCAAGGTATCTAATCTGTTAAAGTAAATGAATCCATATATATCATATGCGTCAGAGGTATTAAAGCTTTTCCGGGTGATATGGCACCAAGTGTCTGATTAATAGGCTTCTCTCCCTAAACCAAGTGGTTAACATCCTTATCCTATCTTCCATCCCAACGATACTATTTTTTATTGTTAAAGATAAGTATATTAACTTCGGCAACAAGAGAGTGCTTCAAAATAAGTACAAGAAGAAGCTACATTACGAATTGTGTAATGAGCTATCTTTATATCATCACAGACTTCTTTTATAGTTATATTTGGTTGCATGTGCTTTCTTAATCTTTGCCATATACACATAAGCTAGACTGGTGCAATTGAGTGTATCTTCTTATCTTCTTACTCTTTTCCGATCAGAGGGCTATATTTATGTTGTTTTATGTCCAAGTTCTAATATAGTAGAATCGTACCTCATGGAAGAATTGACCAATTGGCGTCCTAATCAAACTTAGTTGTCACTATCTTTTTCTTTTTCTTCTTCTATTTCTTGTTCTTTTTCTTCTTTTCATCTGTATTAACCTTGGTAAACTTAGAGAAGACTGAATACAAATACCAATCATAAATGAACCTGGACAATCTCAGGATACTTCATGCTACGGTCTATGAAGTAGCCATACAGGGTAACTTTGTGATATTTCAATGTTTGTTAGTCCATGTCAACCTACCACAGTACCAAAAATTTTGTTTTCTAAATATTTTCTGTTGAACAACAGGAAGCATTTAAGCAAAAGAAGATCATTCCCCCATTACCCCAAATTTAGCATGAGACTTTACATGCAGAAACCACCACAAATACCCCCAACTATTTATTTTTTTGGACAAGGAAATAAAATGTATACCACAAATACCGCCAACTATTGGCCACAAGTATCTCAGCTAAACTAAACGGAAATGATTTGAGCAACGGATGTGTTGAGTCCCACGTCGGTGGAATGTGAATTTCATGGGCTCCTTATATGGTGTTGGGCAATCCTCACCTCATGAGCTAGCTTTTAGGGTTGAGTTAGGCCCAAGGTCTATTTATCATGGTATCAGAGCCAGGTTCACCCCAATTCATTGTTTGCCAATGCTGGGCCTCCATCTTATATTGTCCACGCTCCAATTGCCAAGCCTAGGCGTGCGAGGGAGTGTTGGTAAGGGTGGGAGCAATTGGTCTCCTTAAATGGCTTGGGCAATCCTCACCTCATGAACTAGCTTTTATGGTTGAGTTAGGCCCAAAGCCCATTTATCATGGTATACGAGTCAAGCTCATCCCAATTTATTGTTACCATTGTAGGGCTCCCATTTATGTTGTCCACGCTCCAGTTTGCAGGTCTAGGCGTGAGGGGAGTGTCGAGTCCCACTTTAGTGGAATGTGGATTTCTTGGGCTCCTTATATGATCTTGGGCAGTACTCACCTTATGAACTAGCTTTTGGGGTTGAGTTAGGCCCAAGGTGTCTTTATCAATCAACCCCCAATGATGATTACGTGCTTAACTAGCTAATTCTCAAAAGAACACCAACTTCCAAGAGGTATTAAGAACATGAGCAAAAATATAACTCAAATTTAATATATCTCACAAGAAACTAGAAAGGAAAGAGAAGGAGATCAAATGGATGTTAAACTTAGGCATCAGATGGAAATATCACTAAAAACGTCAGAGAAACCACAAAACAAAAGAGAGAAGAAATAACCTAAATAAAACTCAATAGAACAAAGTTGTGTGTGTGAGAGAGAGAGAACTCAACTATAATTGGACATATTTAACATATCATTCCGTATTTTGCCACTATGGTTAGACGCCTGATATTCGGCCAAAAATGCATATTTACCCATTGTTGCCTCACATTTAGTACTTTTAATCATCTTTGAAGTATTAATTATATTACCTTATGCTTAATATTATATTTTAACTGTGTAGGAATAAAGCAGTGTGAAGATGAAGAAATTTGGAGCAAAATTGAATAAAACGCGAAAGAAGAAAAAAGAAAATAAAAGAATACAAACGGGAGGAGACAAAGGGGGGACCACCCTTTGTTGCCCCCCCCCCCCCCCCAGTGGAAGACAAATAAAGAAGGAAATCCAATTCAAAGCAAGCTAGGAATTAAAATTGCAAATCGCTACTGCCTCCAGCGCTGGCCTAGACCCTATGTTGCGGGATTTTTCCTATTTCGTCCGGGACAAGGTTATTTTGGTCCTACATGGCCCCAACTCGTATACAAGGGGTCTCAAACCTAATTTGGAGGATATCTAACATACTTTGAAGGAGAATTCACGTGCGGGAACACAAAACCACGCTTGGAGGAGGCTTCCAACTAGTTTTTCTTCTCTTCTCTTCCTTTAATCTCATAGTTTATTAGTTCTAGAGTTGTGGGTGCTACATGAACGTTGTAGTTTGAAGCTTAAATTGTTCTTGTTATTTTATCATATTGGTTTATTTATTCAATATTACGCTTAATTATTTGATTGCTTGATCACCAATTGAATACTATCTACGAATCTAGGATTGAACTCGGGAGAGGAAATTCTAGATTGCATATAAGATTAAGTAGAGCAAGATCTTGAACCTGAGTATCGGGAACGAATTTACGGTTAGGATAGGGATATACCTAATCGCCTTGTTTGGTTACTACACAGGAATTATTAGTGCATTCTTGTTAATCCTAATTCCATAGGAATATAGGCGTTAGGTTAGCTTTAATAGGCCAGTAGTACTTCGGGAGAATATTACGAGTAATATTAACCTTGCCAATCAATAAACCAGATAAATTAATTAGACAATTTAAGTGGAAGACTCAACGAGATTGTTAGCTAACCCATAGCTCTAGAATATTTTCTCCCATTGAATTCGTCTCTAAGCTTGCCGAAGTATTTTCTGTAATCGCTTAGTTTGCTACTCTAGATTAGTTTTAATTAAATATTCATACTTTAGAAAGTCGCTTCAATAGATTAATTGTCTTAGTTTAATTTAGTAAATAGTTAATCACAAGTCCATGTGGGTAGGATATTTGAACTTCAAATCCTATATTACTTGTACGACCGCGTATACTTGCGTGTGCGCTTGGGAGCAACAACGCCTATAACAAGTTTTTCTAAGTTACTAGTGGAAGGGTGCAAAGAGAACAAAGCCCTGTCAACCAAGCTCTTCAGTTCCTTGACATAATGGGTAGAACATAGATATGTGCATATCATTTGGATCCTTCAATACACATCAGAACTGCACCAAGTTGACCATACCAGTTTAATACAGGTGCAAACTCACGTTCATCTAACATGGGTGGGGAACAGGAAAAATAATTAAAAGACAGCCCAGGGAAAAGGTATCTCCAAGTGTCGACATAACATATATTAAAGTTTGTCAGAATGAAACTGGTGAAACAATTGTTACCAGACCTTCTTGCAATATTTTCCATTATGCCCATAATGCCCACAGCGAAAGCATGGCCTTTTCTTCTTTTCAAGAGGGATACAACCTGCTGCTCCATGATTTTCTTCACCACACCTCTGGCATGTTTCCCATTTGCTTCCTTTAAAGTCAAAATATCTAGGCGCCCGCTACAAAAGTTGGTAATCTTAAGCCATCACAGTTGTTAGAAGCAAGGACTTAAACATGAGGTCTGAATTTTACATATACTCACAAGAAGTGCCTGCATCACCAAACTTTCCCTTGTGCCAAATGATTCAGTCTCCAACACCATCACTTGCTTCGCATCTGTTGCAGCATGCACCTGCCAGGCAGTCTCCTTAATAAACCTCTAAATTCAATTGCCAAAGGCTATGATAAAATCAGATATTATTAGGTGTTTTATGCTAACATGTTCTTCACTTCAATGCACAAACGAAACAAATGTTGCAAACTGAAATGGGAAAGAAAACGAAAAAGACAGCAAAGCTATTAAATTTGATCTCATCATTATGTTGCAAGTGCATATCAAAGATAAAATAATAGATTAACTAAGGGGTTAGGAAATTGGCACCTAAACTATGTTTTCTTCCGTTTCAATCCAAAACTATTATCAGAAGTACCCTAAGGTGCAAATAAATAGAAAGATGAAATAGAATGTCTTTCAATTTCTGTACCTAATTTAAATAACAGCAGCAACAAGAATATATGTTCTATTGACTCAGCTACGGCCAACAGGTACACATTTTAGAATATTATAAATAATTCGCACAAAGCCACACCCATTTTACACTCGTTCGGTATGGGCACATCAAGGCAAATGAAGGATCCATATAAAATAAGCATGAATGCCACAATCAGTTTGGCATAAAGGGAAAAGTAGAAAAAATGAACAAATTTTCTACAGCCTCTTCTTCTTCGTTCTTCTTCTTAAATACTGGTTCTTTGGTCAGAGTTTCAAGTGGAGCCCCAAAAGCTCCCCAGATTTCACCGGCTGTTGAAGACTCCACCACAACATCATCACTTTTTGCTCGGGATTATACCTTCCTTACCATTAGCCTAGAGAGAGCCATTGACAAAGAACTTTTGAAACTTGAAAGTACCATGAGCAGATTCATATTAGTAAAGTAACCACATAACCAGTAATTATGTTTTGTAATTAGTTAAGGAAGGAACAATTTATTATTTGCATCTATTTCTGCTCTGAACTATCGTAAAAAGAAACAAAAGGATGCAATTAAACACAAATTCAAAACTGGATCTCCTTTTAACATCTGTACTTAAATGCTGCTATGTAAATGACGATCAGTTTGGCAAAGTGGAAGGGAGAGTAAAAATGAGTAGACACTGAGAAGTAGGATTAATGACTTACAACAGTCTCTTGCTCTTCAATTCTCTCTTTGTCCACCATTGGTTGTATCGACTGAGTTTTAAGTGTATCTGCCGACAAATCTTCACCACCTTCAGGGGAGGACAAACATTGTTCAGTGACTGTTGAAGCCATTACATCACCAGTAATTTCAGCTCCATCTTTTTGTCGATTATCTCCTTTCCCACCATTAGCCTAAGAGAATTAGGGACACTTTTTTCAGATGCCAAGAGGAGGTTCATATTCAAAACGAACCATTAACTACGTCTCTGACTTGGTTTTGAAGGAAGATCTTTTTACTTTTTGTTTCAATCCGTCGCTACCCAGAACTAATTCTATAAAGCAGCAGGAAGACACATTTAAATACAAATTCGAGAGAATCTCCCATGGGTATCCTACTTGAATACCCACACTCAAAATAGGACCAAAAAAGAAAGCTACAATGTGTTTTTTGGACACTAAAAGGAAAGCATATCAGAGGTAGGATTAATGAACTTACAATAGCTTCTTCTTTTTCACTCCTCTCATTTTGTACTAACGGTGGTTTCGTCACAGGTTTAAGATCTGCTGCAAAGCATCCCATATCTTCAGACATTCTTCACCTACAGAGTAGGATATAGACAGCTCACTGACTGTTGAAGACTCCGCCTAGTCACCAGCAATTGTTCTCCAGATTTTGGTTGATTATATACTTTCATACCATTAGCCTGCAAAAGATATTAATGTAAGAGATTCTCTTTAAAACACCAAAAAATGTTTATACTCAAAATATATATATATATATATTATTTATTGAATTAAGGGAGATTTTTCATCTGTTTCTTGCAGTCTGCTTTATCTTTTGCCTTTTTTGATAGGTTCTTGATAAAAAAGAATATGGGATTCTAGCTTCTATGATTGGGGACTTGTTCTTCTTTTCCTATTGTTAATGCCAATATTTGACACAGATTAACTAAAGGATTAATGCAGCCGAGTCAAAAACCAAATCCTTGAAGCTACTCTGTGGGGGAACAATAATTGTCTTCACAGCGATAGATCAGGCCTAAAATGGGCTTGGTTGGACCAAGATTACACCCAAAAATGGGCTGTCCCAAAAACTAATTCAAGAGAAAGCTATGACCCAATTTAGCATGGCACATGAGGGTTAACATATCTGACCAAGTTCAAGGAAGCTCTTACAGTTAGAAGAACCAGTCAGCTACTAACTTCTCACAAATCGTGGACGGATGAGGATCCGTTGGTCAGATGATACAACCCCTAGAATGAAGGAGTCAGCCAATCAAGCCGCCTATCCTTCTTAAGATTTTATGCATTGCAATGAACCAAATATGCAAGAATGATGGAGGAAATCTAGAAGAAGGTGTCCAAGGCAGCCCAGTAGCTAGTTTTAGTATTAATAAATAGGCTGATTGACTGTACATAGTAGTGGCCATCATCATCCGAATCCAACATATCAAGTTTCTCTTGTAATCAAATAATTCAAATTCTTCATGTTCAATTTACAAAACTCGCTTTATTTACAAGTTCTTTTCACATTCCTTTAATGCTTCTTAATACCTCACGCATTTTACAAGATTCTCTAGTTCTTTTAATCTGTCAATGATAATTCTTGGCAATAACCGTGACTGAGGAAAGAAGGTACCAACTGCATAATTATATCGATCTTCAACATTAGCCCTTCAAGGGAAGAGAATTGGTTTCAAAGAGGAAATCTCTCCTTCAACAAACAAGCGCGAGTATAACTTCATGACAATGGACTACTTCACCAAGAGGGTAAGCCTAGTCAACAGAATCAGTCAAGCAAGCTAATGTGATCAAATTTATTAAGAACCAAATCATACACTCCCTCCGTTTCAATTTATCTGAACCTATTTCCTTTTTAGTATGTGCCGAAAAGAACGATCTCTTTCCATATTTGAAAACAATTTACCTTTATGCAATGATTTATAGCCACACAAAATATATGTCCCTCATTTTACAATTTACACCATTAGTTCAAAAGTCTTCTCTCTTTTTTCTAAAAATCTATGCCCAGTCAAATAGGTTCATATTAATTGAAATGGGGAGTATAAATTGGGCATTCATGAAGCAGTCATGTCTAGTCGAGCTACAGTGTTCACCAAATAGTAAGGTTGACATTCAAATGAATTTGCCAAAGGCTTCATTCCTTATTGTTGAAGTGTGTGATTATCTCATCTAAGAGCTTAAACTGTTAGAGATGGTACACTTTTATTTACATAATCATGTCTTAAATGCTTATTAATTAACACATTGAAAGACATATTTATACATGGTCATTAAGGATATTCGATGTCATTATTTTTACTGGAAAACATAGTATACTCTTGTTTTATTTAAAATGTGGTACCCCATTGAAGTTTCAAAGTTACTCCTAAACTATCTTCACTTTTTTTCAGGAACAGATGCAAATAATTTCCATAATTATAAATCAAATTAGTACAATCAAGTCCTAAAGTATCTACATCGCATGTATATAAGCATTTGGTACCGCTTGAACACGGATACGTCAAAGCAAGACGAAGAGTCAATATTACATAGGTGACTACACCGCTGTAAGTTTTGAAATGTCAGTAATTTATCAACCCAAAAAAAAAGTGACTACGCCACTGTGAAATAAAAGATTTGATCTTTAAATTCCAGCTTTTCATTCATGAAAATCCACCTTTTTAACAAAATGGGCCATTGAATATTCTCTTCTATTGCTCAACTGTAAGACCAACTTTCTCTAGGTGTTTCTCATTAATTGAGTATATCTTGAAACAAATCTTGCAATGTTGTTCTAAATCTAAAAGTAGAAAAAAGAGTATCATTTATGTCACTTCAACTAACAAATGCAAAGTTCAGAGCGCATATTCTATTTAGAAGAATCTTTCCCCAAAAAGGAAAAAAAGAAAGATGAGGAAGAAGAAAAACTTACAAGAAGCAAAAGTGGCATTCCATTTTCAGATACAATAGGAGAGGGGGTAACTAGCTTGCTGAAGGGGGTTGGGCGTGAGCATATGTGTTGACGGAAATGAGAAATAAAGAAGAAATAAGACAATGGAATTGTAATCTTGTTCTAATATTTGTTAATCTCTTCTGGATTTTGTGGGGAAAAAATATCTCTTCTAGATAGTTTAACTGAATTCGTTTAGTACCAGAGATAAAGAATAATAAATTTTAAATAAAATTTTAAATTTTATTTATCCAATATTTAATTATAGCTATCAGTTAATCCTAAAATAAATTTTACACTAAAATTAACTATCCCATATAAAAAGGGAATAGCTAGTCTCATAACAACCTCTAATTTTAGCATGACTTGTCTTTTTTTTTTCATCAAAGGTAGATATTATATTAATGCAGCAAATAAATAATTTGAGCAAAGTTGTTCATAGTATCCTTTACAATCCAACTTAAAAAATAGTTTTCTCAAGATACTTCCTTTAATAAAGTAATAGAAAACTTAGTTAAGTTATGTGTTAGTTTATTTAGACTTTTAATAATATAAGCAAATACGACACGATCAAACAAAGTCGATAGCTTCCAAATGTCTTTACAAGTCATTTTTATCTCTTGTGAGGTATTAATTTTTTTCTAGATCGTATCAATAACACTCTCTGCATATGATAGAATCTTCACCTTCTTCCAACCATGTGTAATTGCATGTTCAAGAGTCATTCTTATCGCAAGCGCTTCAGCAGTCATGGCTTTTCCCACAAACTAGATTAAGGATCCATGGGCATGAAGCAGATTCGCAAAGCTATCTAAAGTTGCAACACCAATACTCGCTCGTCTAGCATCCACCTGTAGACATGCATCGGTAAATAATAAAATACCATCTTGGTGGTTTGTTAGTTGATCCGTAAAACAATTCTTATTTTTGAGAATTAATAGATGAGCAAGTAGCTAAAATTTCTCTATACTCATGATAATCAAATAGAGGCTTAGAAACAATATCATTTGGTTCTAACCTATCTAGACTAAAATACCAGGCCTTCCTAGCTTTTCAGATTTGACACATAATATTAACACTTAAATTTAATAATTCTTTTGACTCAGGATATTGTCTAGCATCTTAAACCATCTTGTACCACCAAATTGAAAAATCATTAATATTTTCTAAATCGTGCCAGTTTATAGGACTTAGTTTCCACACATGTTAAGAACGAGGACACCTAAATATCAAATGCTCAACATCCCCACCTTCAGTTCCACATATTTTACAAATTTTCTCCACACTTGGTATTCTCTTAGCAAGATTATTACTTACTGTCACGACCCAAGTTCTCCCTCTGTGAACCGTCGTGACAGCATCTAGTCTCTAAGACTAAGTAAGCCTAATATTTGCGGAAAATGAAACGAAATCATGAAAACTAACAATCTACAGGTATTTTTTAAAAAGGAACTAAGATGCCGCTCGGCATATACAATAATCACTCTCGAATTTTACATAAACTCTCCAAAAACCCGGAATACATGATAGGCTATAATTATGTATCTTATTCGTTTATTACACTCTAATTTACTGCACTTTAATTGAGTTTGAGCTTTAATCACTAGTGTTTTGCGCTAAATATGTATTTTATGCCTTGTAGGAGTGATTCCAAACTATGTAGATATTATGGAATGAATTCAAGTGACTTGGAGCTTTGAAGTCTGAGTAAAAGCCCAAGGAATCAAGTCGGGATCGTGTTCGGGGATCAATGGATGATAGTTGAGAATGAAACGGAGAATCGAGCGGGCATACGGCGTATTGTCTAGTAAAATGTACATAACTTTTCACTCAAAACTTCGTTTGGGCTCCACAATATATTGTTGGAAAGATATTTGAAAGGCTACAACTTTCATGTTTTGTATTTTTGCAAATTCAGAATAACGCGGCGCATGGTGCACTGCGGCGCGCGCCGCGCCTGTGGAACTTTCCTGCAGCCTGTAATAATTAGCTTCTGAACTTCCCCACAAGCACACCGCACAGTGAAGCGCAGGGTGCGGTGCTCCTGTACAAATTTTACAGAGCCAAGTCCTATTTTGCGAAGGAGAGGGTGTTTCGTCTGGGGCCGACCCTACTTGGTATAAAGACATATAAAAACGCTATTTTGAGGACCTTTTGGGACATCTTAGACCTAGGGAGAGCGCAGAGCCCCCCGTGGAGGCCGGATTTCATCTTTTCTTCCACCAAACTTGGTAATTTTTATGTTTCTTTGTTTGATTTGTTGTTTGGTCACCATGTCTATGTGGAGCTAAACTTCACGTTCTTGGGTTATGGTTCTTTCATGACTATTGTTATTCGGATATTGATTTTGATTTCTTAGTTTATCATATTGGTTTATTTATTCAATCATGTACTTAATTATTTAATTGCTTGATCACCAATTGAATACTATCTACAAATCTAGAATTGAACTCGAAAGTGGGAATTCTAGATTGCCTATAGGACTGAGTAGAGCAAGTTCTTGAACCTGGGCATCGGGGAACAGATTCACGATTAGGATAGACATATACCTAATTGCCTTGCTTGGTTGATTTACAGGAACTATAAATGCATTCTTGTTAGTTCTAACTCCATAGACATATAGGCGTTAGGTTAGCTTGAATAGGCGAGTAAGAACTCGACAGATTCTTATGAGCAATATTAACCTTGTCAACCAATAAACTAGATAAATTAATTAGTCAATTCAATTGAAGAATACAATATGATTGTTAGATAGCCCATAACCCTAGATCGTTTTCATCGCATTAACAACATAAAAATCTGCTCTTACTCTGTTTAAAGTTTATTAGTTATTTTTTTTTTTTAGTTTAATTACTTTAGAATCACTACTTTTGGGTTTAATTCTTGTTTAGACAGTTAGGATAGTCTAATTTAGTTAGATAATCATAAGTCCTCGTGGGTCCGACATCCGACTTTTAGACACTTTATTACTTGACGACCGCGTATACTTGCATGTGCGTTTGGAACTAAGATGCCGGGCGAGGCCAGATTATTGGGTACGGACTTGGTTCAGGATGACTTGGAGAAGGTTAAGGTGATTCGGTAGGGAGGTTGCTTATGAGCTTGCCTTACCTCCCAGCCTAGTAAGAGTTTATCCGGTATTTCATGTTTCGATGCTCTAGGGGTATCACGGCGATCCATCTCATGTGTTGGATTTCAGCTCAGTCGAGTTGGACAAGGATCTATCTTGTGTTGAGGAGCCAGTGGCTATTTTGGACAGGCAGGTTCGAAAGCTGAGGTCAAAGAACATTGTATTAGTAAAGGTTCAGTGGTTGGGTCAGCTGATCGAGGAGGCGACTTGGGAGTCCGAGCAGGATATGCGCAGCCGTTATCCTCATATTTTCACCACTTTAGGTATGTCTCTATGCTCATCCGAGGACGAACGATTATTTTAAGAGGGGGAGGATGTAAAGACCCAGCCGATCATTTTTAGAGTTAGAGCCCCGATTCCCTATTAACTGCTTTCCCCATATCTATTTCTTCTATTGTGACTTGCCAGGAGGTTTCATTTTGGTTTTTGGAAGTGTTTGGGACACTTAGTCCCTAACTGGAGGTTTAAGCCTTAGGATTTGGACCGTAGTCGAAACTTTATGAAGACGAATCCGCAAGTGCGTTTGGAACTAAGATGCCGCAGCGGCCAAACGCATACGCAAGTATACGCGGTCGTCAAGTAATAAAGTGACTAAAAGTCGGATGTCGAACACACGAGGACTTGTGATTAACTATTAACAAAATTAGACTATCCTAACTATCTAAACAAGAATTAAACCCAAAAGTAGTGATGCTAAAGTAATTAAACTAAAAATAAAATAACTAATGAACTTTCAACAGAGGAAGAACATATTTTTATGTTGTCAATGCAATAAAAACGATCTAGAGTTATGGGCTATCTAACAGTCATATTGTATTCTTCAATTGAATTGACTAATTAATTTATCTGGTTTATTGGTTGACAGGGTTAATATTGCTCATAAGAATCTGTCGAGTTCTTACTCGCCTATTCAAGCTAACCTAACGCCTATATGTCTATGGAGTTAGAACTAACAAGAATGCATTTATAGTTCCTGTAAATCAACCAAGCAAGGCAATTAGGTATATGTCTACCCTAACCGCGAATCTGTTCCCCGATGCCCAAGTTCAAGAACTTGCTCTACTCAGTCCTATAGGCAATCTAGAATTCCCACTTTCGAGTTCAATTCTAGATTTGTAGATAGTATTCAATTGGTGATCAAACAATTAAATAATTAAGTGCAGGATTGAATAAAATAAACCAATATGATAAACTAAGAAATCAAAATTAATATTCGAATAACAATAGTCATGAAAGAACCACAACCTTAGAACGTGAAATTTAGCTCCACATAGACATGGTAGCCAAACAATAAATCATACAAAGAAAGATGAAAATTACTAAGTTTGGTGGAAGAAAAGATGAAACCCGGCCTCCACGGCGGCTCTGTGCTCTCCCTAGGTCTAAGATGTCACAAAAAGTCCTCAAAATAGCATTTTTATATGTCTTTATACCAAGTAGGGCCGGGCCCATACAAAACACCCTCTCCTGCGCGAAATAGGACTTGGCTCTGTAAAATTTGTACAGGCGCACCGCACCGCACTGTGCGCCGCACTGTGCGGTGTACTTGTGGGAAAGTTCAGAGAGCTGATTGCTGCAAGAAAGTTCCACAGCCGCGGCGCACCATGCACCGCGTTAGTGGGAATTTGCAAAAATGCAAAATATGAAAGTTGTAGCCCTTTCAAATAGCTTTCCAACGATATATTGTGGAGCCCAAACGAAGTTCTGAGCAAAAGTTATGTGCATTTTACTAGACAATGTACCGTATGCCCGCTCGATTCTCCGTTTCGTTCTTAACTATCATCTATTGATCCCTGAACACGATCCCGACTTGATTCCTTGGGCTTTTATTCAGACTTTAAAGCTCCAAATTACTTGAATTCATTCCATAATATCTACATAGCTTGGAATCACTCCTACAATGCATAATGCATATTTAGTGCAAAACACTAGCGGTTAAAGCTCAAACTCAATTAAAGTGCAATAAATTAGAGCGTAATAAACGACTAAAATACGTAATTATACCCTA